CTGGATGTCGCGGGCTCGCTCGTAGGACTGGTAGGCGATCTTCTCCTCCATGCTGGCCAGCTCCTGCTTCAGGTTGAGGATCTCGTTCTGGTGCAGCTCCGTGAGGTCGTTGAGCTGCTCCTCCAGCCGCTCGCACCTGCGGGCCGGCCGGCGCAGTGTTAGGGGGCTCTGCGGGGGCTCTCCTGGCGTCGTCATTACTATTATTATTATTATTTATTTTTTAAATTATTGATTAATTTATTATTTTTTTTAATTAAAGAAATATTGTCTTGCTTTTTCTTTTCTTACCTTTTTCATTTTAACTAGACACGCGGGTTCCTGAATCTGTTATTATTATTATTTTAATTAAAGAAATATTACCTTGCTTTTTCTTTTCTTGCCTTTTTTATTCTAACTAGACACACGGATTCCTGAATCTATTATTATTATTATTATTTTTAATTAAAGAAATATTGTCTTGCTTTTTCTTTTCTTGCCTTTTTCATTTCAACTAGACACACAGATTCCTGAATCTATTATTATTATTATTTCTTTAATTAAAGAAATATTGTCTTGCTTTTTCTTTTCTGACCTTTTTCATTTCAACTAGACACACGGGTTCCTGAATCTGTTATTATTACTATTATTATTTTAAATAAAGAAATATTATCTTGCCCGGGCGACAGGGTGAGACTCGGTCTCAAAAACTAACTAACTAAAATAAAATAAACTGAGCACTAGGATATCGGGCAGCGAGCCATGTGCAATACGTAAATTATTTCGCTGGAATATCGTAATGATCTCACAATAAGGGACCATTGTCGTTCCTAGGTGGGAGGTGGGAAGGCCGGGGCAAGCTGGTAAAGAAACTCACCTGCTTTTCCAGGTTAGTTAGTTTTTTTGTTTGTTTGTTTGTTTGTTTTTGAGACAAGAGTCCCGCTCTGTCGCCCGGGCTGGAGTGAGCGCCGTGGCGTCAGCCTCGCTCACAGCAGCCTCCGATTCCTGGCCTCAAGCGATCCTCCTGCCTCGGCCTCCCTCCCGAGTAGCTGGGACTACGGGCATGCGCCACCATGCCCGGCTCGTTTTTTCTATATATATTAGTTGGCCAATTAATTTCTTTCTATTTATAGTAGAGACAGGGTCTCGCTCTTGCTCGGGCTGGCCTC